TATACTTACCTACACATCCATATACTGTTTACTGTTTCATGCGGGGAAGAAGAAAGTAAAGTGGAGTCTTGGCACGCGCTTTGAACACCTTTCAGATCACTGACATCTTCTCAGGTGTCGGTGATTTTATTTATCTCAAGTGCGAGCTCATTCTGGATTTTTTAAAGAGAAACCTGGAAATTGCCAACTTCGCTGTTTCTTGCTAAGTGAAAGAAAAATGTATACAACGATTTTTGAACGCTATTCATTTTATTTATAATGATTTTCCATGTTGTTTAATTATTTTTATTATGTTTATATACCTCATGCATAATTTATATGTACTATCATATTATTCGACTCGATACTATTCAAAATAAAATCAAAGCGTCCATTACATTAATCTATTTTCTTTATTACTTTACTTCAATATTTTAAATACCTGCAAAATTTTTCAAGTACATTATTTTAAAATTTTCTGATGGGACAGTTACATTTATTCTAATAATAGAATAAATATTATTTTAATCATTCTTCATTTACAAGGTAAACATTATTTGTTATCAATTCTTGACACTAATATAGATATATAATACAAAATAAATGTAAAAATGTAATACTTTAAGGATTATTTTTTTAAAGTCTATAACAAAACTTTAAATTAGATATAAAATACAAATTGTTTCATTTTGTTTGTTCATCATAAAAAAAATGTTCTATAGATAACAAATATGAAAAATTCTACATACTTTTTACAATCTGATCTAAGTTTAAAATTACAGTTCTTTTAATGATCTTTGTAGTATTGTGTGTGATATAAAAACTAATTACTTCATGATTAAAATGATAAAACAAATTAAATAAGAATAAAAAGAAGTATTACAAACGGAATCAGATTCATGTATAATTCAATCATTCTCTCGTTGAATTTTATTATTTATTTCATGATATCATCATATCCATTTAATCTTTTACAATGAAAGATTTCACATTATAACTAATATAAATTTAACGTTTAACTATATTTGAATTAAGTGAAAATAATTAAATAATTAAAAATATTAAGTGAAAAATTTTAATTAAACCATCACTTTATAATGTTTTAGGCTTTCATCAATTATCATATAGTTTATCCAGTAAAAATTAACTAGAGGAATGAGTTTTTTATGTATAACAATATGTGACAAAATATAATGTTTTACAATACTTTCGATATTATATTTATTATGTATATCATTATTATATCATTTATTGTTACTTACTTAATTTTATTATATTTCATTCAGATGACGTGCAGATAAAAATTGTTAATATACAAAAAGATTGCGAATTTGAAATTCAGGAAGAATTAAATCGAATCGATCATAAACAAAGCCTTTATATCATTATTAAATAATTCTCAAAGGAAATATTTATTTTATATTATTAATAAATATTATTATTTACGTATATTTTGATAGGTAGGTATGCATGTGTTAAGTAAACATGAAAAATTCACTAAGACTGTATGACCTATAATATGAATATGTATAAATTTACTTATACAAAGTCGTATGACTTACATCTCTTAATTGACATACCATTGTAATTATAAATTTTTATTTGAAATATTTTTTTTTAAATCGAATATAAGTACTATTTATTATACAATTAATATATTAATAATAATGAAATGAATCAATTATGTAAAAAATTTGTTAAATATTAATTTCATTAAAACGAATTAAGTATAAAAAATGTAGTAATCAGTTATCATAATTAAGTATTAGAATTATAAATGAATTTTATAATTATATTTTTCAATATAAATTTTTTTTGTTTCAATAATATTTATTCAATATCAAAATAGTTTATGTTTAATAATGTTTGAGAATATTTTGTATACATTTTATAAAATAAATAAAGTAAAATAGTATATGTTAATTGAAAATCTTTATCTTACGTACTTAGTAATAATCAAATATTACAAAAATTATAACACCTACTTAAAATATTTTATGTATTTTACATTGAGATTTCATTAACTAACGATTTACCATATAACAGACAAATATAAAACTGTATGGTACTATTATATTAGAAAAGTAATATAGAAGAAAAATCATATGCGTGATATTATTAACTCTGGGTGTTTGTCAGAAAAAAGGTCGATTCTGTTGGTGTTAATAAGTAAACAAAATCCATTTAACTGTTCAAGTTCTATAATTTCTGTATCATTTGATTCTATGAGGATTTCGTACGGAACAATATTCGAACAGATATATTGTAAATCACTTTATGAAAGGGTTGCTTACTCCTATATTTCTAATTATCGAAGCGAATAAAATTTTTTTTATATCTAAAATGAAAAAAAGAAATTATGTGTATTACAATACTAATTAAGAATCGAGGAAAAGGAAATATGCACGGATAAGAGAATTCAAGAAAATCTCTATCGATAATAAAATGAAAATTGTGACGTTAGATATATATTTTAAACTTTAATTATATATTTAAAAAACTTTTGTATGTTTTGATAAAATGAATATAATAATAAATATACAATAAATTTATTAAACAAGATCTAATTTATTACGTACACAAGTATATTTGTAATATCCTTTGAGTTCATACATTTTTCCAAATATTATTTGTATATAATATAAAGTAAGAAGTATCTTTTCCGGCGCTAATTTCTCGAGTGAAAAACGGTAAGTATTTTTTGAAATTGTACTAATCTATTCTAATAGCTCTTACATAAAAATACAATGTTTTTACGAATATTGTTTATACAAAATGTTTTTGAATACTGAAACCAGTTTAGTAAGTCTGAATAATTTGTATAGACTGGTAAAGAATAATTAAATAAATTATATAATAATTATAATTAAATAAATAAATAAATTATAAATGACAACAAGATTTCCAACCGTTAAATGATTGTAAAGCGCTTGGAAAATTTGCAGGTGTATCGATATCGGATACAGAATCGGATGAAAAATAGGTATTCATCTTTTCACTGTCATTGCGCGGAGCAACAGAATTCCTTCAATGGGGCCCAAGTAGCAATGGTGTGGGCTTTATTGGTCGAACGGTTTTGTCCCCACCATGGCTTACGGGGCCGCATGAGGCACACAGGCTATAAGAAGACCCGCACGGAAATATTATCTTTCAGAACCGGAGTGTTGTCGCACAGATAGAGTTCATATTTACATAGCTGGACTTTTAATTAAGAAAGCAAAAAGTGAGTTTTAACACACGCTAGTTTAACATTAAGTTTGGTAAAGGTCGAGTGCGCGGGAATTGCGATTGATTGTGACGTTTCATTTTAATGTACTTGTTACATAGAATTGCGGTAGCTTCGACGCAATTTTTCACTATGGACCGCAAATTTTTTTTATGTTATTTGTGGAATTTATGAGCGAAAGATTTTAGTTTCTAATTAACATGGAATATCATGTTAATTTTCAAAGTCAGCAGGTGATGTGCTTTGAATGTAAAAGTTCTAGATGGGTAAATTGCAATAAATAATAAGTAATATATTAGGGTTATTCAGATTAAACTTTTTTAATTAAAAATAATGATTGTATTTATAATTGAAAGGTATGAATAAGAATGAAAAATTCTAATTAAAACATTGAATTGTTGTAATTGAGAAAATAATATACATATTGTTATAATGGTTATTTTAATATTATTTATATACAAATAAATAATGCATTTATATTATATTTTTCAAAATTTTTGCAAATTTTTTTTTGCAATTACTCTAAAAGCAATATAATTACGTCAATTTTAATGCAATTAAAAAATATTAAGTAAAATATCTTTGAAACTAATTATAAATAACAATATTAATTTAGAAATATTTTATAAAAAAGGTTATTCAAATAATTTTTCGTTACACATAATAGTTTATAATAAATGAAATGAGTAACGATAAGAAAATCGAAAGCATACCTTTTAGAATATATAATTAGCAATGAAATAATCCACATTACTGATAATTAATCATTAATTGTTAAAAACAGCTCATTATCATTCTGTAATTGATAAATACACTCAATTATAAAATATTCTTTTCATGGTTAATGTTAAGTATAATTGTATATTTGCATGTTATATTTTATTAAAATAATTCATCGATTGTCAATACAATTAAATTGCTATTTGTTGTGTTAATTTAGATTTAGGTTATGACAAAATTATATCTCTTATCTTCCTATCATTAAATAATAAAAAAAGCTTATATTATTCATTTGCTTGTGAAAATACAAAAAGCTTGCCACAATCATTTCAGTAATTATCAGAATAAATTTGAATATTCCTATAGTGACTAGAAGTACTAATATTGAATGAAATGCAAATTCCAAGCGTTCATGCTTTTCATCGTTTTCATTTCTTAAGTCATTATATTTCATAAGTTAAATAAACCACATTTTTCATATATTATGCAGTAAACTTTTTTCGGTTTTTTTTTTTATTATTTTTTTAATTTTATGTAACGTAGGAGGGTAAATGTCCGAGCACCACGTTAGTAAATCTGACTTGAATGGAGTATAAGTGCTAGAGAAACCACTTACATTCATCACACACCCATAGGACGTGATTTCTTTAAGTTCCAGCATGAGCTTGTACACAGCAACCCTCTAGGCAGTAAGCCAGAGACAGAGACAGAGAGATAGATAGATAGATAGACAGACAGATAGATAGATAGATAGATAGATAGTTAGGGAGAGACAGAGGGGTGAAAGAAAGGAACGGAGTGGAAGGGCGGGAGGGAGGGAGGGAGGCAGCGAGAGAGAGAGAGAGAGAGAGAGAGAGAGAGAGAGAGACAGAGGGGCGAGAGAAAGGAAGGGAGAGGGAGGGGGGGAGAGTGAAATCCTTGTCGTCAACTCGGCAGTAGGTCGCGACCGCCTTTTCGGAATAACGGTGCCTCTCGGCGTTCGGGTCAAGAAACCCGCTCGACTCGGATGTGGACTAACGAGGTCGCCTCCTACCGACGTCAGGACGCCGGAGCGCGACCCACTTTCATGGTCAAGGTTATTTATCAAGCGTCCACTCGTCCGATCGACGAGTGGGTTGCCGTCATCCAACTGGAACTCCAACCACGTCTGGGTCAATACGGCCGATCGCGTTTATTTAATTGCTAAGGAAATGGTTTGCGCTGTTTATACGAGAATTTGTTGAGCAATCATTCCAGTGATGATGCAGTATTTTACAATAACTTACGGATAATTTTCAATTCATTGACCTACTTTCATGGTCAAGGTATCTTTCAATTCTTCCAGTCTGAAAATTCTTGCTTCATCTGGCGGTATAATAGAAGAAAATTATCGGTAATGATTGTCCACGTCTTTCTATCAAAACTATTATGAACATATGATTCCTACATTATTAATATATAGAATTAACGATGAATATATTTTATTTCTATTTTTATTAAAAAAAAAATACAAATCTTATTGGAAATTTACAGTTAAAATGGACTGTCGACTATATGTCAATAAAAATATCTAAGATTTGACTAATTAATAGCTTCAAAGGTCGTGCGTTAAGTTTTCTGATGTCGATCTAACGGTTCAAGTTGACGTCATGGTTTTCAAACGAGCCAAAGCAATTTCGACGCGAAAAAAGTACGCGCCTGTACACCATGGCAATGCGTAACACTTTCGACCCCAGCATTCGATCTAGTTACGAACAAAAGGAGAAAGAATGGCAGCGAAATTTCATATGCGTCAGGGAAAGTCGTATCGCGAAGGAGACATTTTAAATGCATTATGAGTCACGCAAGGTTCTGAACAACAGGGAATAATCTGGGCGTATGAGAAAGCGACAGGTTTCTTGTATTTATCGAAACCGAGGCTTTTTTGTTTTAACAAATCTTATTTTTATTTACAAGATAATTTTTTATGTCTGCAGTACTCTTTATCCGACCTATAATAGCCGATTATTCATTTCGAGCTTCTTATTTTTATTTTCATATCGAGTAAACGACTCACATCGCTTTTATAATCAGTTAAATAATAAATTTCTTTTATACATATATATATATATATATATATATATATGAATTTATTTAAATAAATTGCTTATCATTGTACTACTTCAATTTCATAATACTTTTTATAAATTGATTGAGCACTTGAGAATATTTTACGATATAAGTTATTGTAATTAATTTAATGCCAGTTCATTTTGCTAATAAAACTTAAATTCGGATTACAATTAAATTAATTTTTATTAATTTCTTTAATTATTCAAACTTCATATAAAATCTGCTAATTATAATGATATCGATATTTGGCCAAATCATTTTTCAATGTAAATAATCTAATATAGTAAAGCCAGTAAAATTATTAATTTTTCATGGGACATAATACAGTCAAAATAAATCGTCAAAATGATATTAAATCTGAAGATGCTTAAAAACTTTTTAGCACAAACATGCAGAGCAAACAATACCTATCATTATGCTTGGTCGCATTGGTGTTGGGACAAGCATTTGCATTGCCCCAACAACCGCTTCATCAGCAAATCGAAGAGGCAAGAAAGTTCGCAGAGAAGCCGAACGCCATGAAGAAAGTTGCTTTAGATGACATCGAGGACATTAGTACCAACTCGATTCAGGTAAGTAATAAAGTAGCCAAAAAATTCCGTTCCACGAAGTATGAAATCGCAGTACCCAAAGGATTTGCGATGATTTAAGTATTCGTATGCGAATTAATGATGAGGTATAGCGAAAGTTGTTCTCATATGATGGTCAAAATGTGAAATTCTTGCATTAATTGTTTATATAAAAAAAAAAAGTGAAAATTATTTCTTCAGTCTTTGGCTTTCTTAAAGAGAAAGTTTTCTGACAAAATGAAAACGAGTTTTTGAGATTTATTATCGTAAATACGACAAAACTTGTAAAGAATATTTGAATCTTCTTAATTCTAGATTATTCACCGTGAAAACAATATATGCCCTAATATTATAAGCATTTGAAGTAATAATAATGTATTAATAATTAAGTCGAACTTTGATTTTGGAAAGAATTTACAATGCAGTTACCATATATATATATATATATATATATATATATAAGCTAAGAAAATTTTTATAAAATAAATTTTATCTGATTAATTTCTATTCTGATTCTTATCTGAATCATTTACATAAGTTTATTAATAATTTGTATAATCTTTTGCCGTAAATAACAACCTGAATTACGTGTTTTTCATTGCTGACCGTTGGATTCATACGAAAACAATGTATTACAAATAAAAAGCATGTTTCGAACATTGACAATTCATTCGCAAATAGTAAAATATTCTCACGGTTATTTATTAAATGAACGTTTTCATCCGCAGCCATTATATTCTAGTAAATTCTTTGTTTTTACGTCAAAGACGGAACCGTTTTAATGTTTGTGCAATAAATTGCTTTCGATCGTGAGAAAAGGTAAGCGCGATGTAGCGAATTCCGACTCAACGTATCCCTTGGGCAATCGCAGGAAGGCGGCGGTACGGGCTTCTCCTGGTCGAACATGTTGGGGATGTTGATGCAGATGTTGCTGGGTCAGACCTCTGGCATCGCCAGCCCCAGTAAGAATGAGATCGACGAGGGCGTGCCAGCTAGCCCTTGGGCCAACCTCCTCTCCGTCGGACTACGCGTACTCACGGCGATCCTGGGCGGACCTCAGCAACAGGTCGACGGTATCGACAAAGTCGATAACCAGAGCAGCAGTCCCATGCAGGTACAAATGCTTCCGCGATTCCGCCATTCTTGGAATCCGTTAGTTATAGCTCATACCTAATTAGTGCTCTGTAGCTTGTGCATTTGTAGTATGCGCGTAGATGCAGCTCCTTGTAAATTTGGTGGTATTTATATTTCTGGAAATATCCAGCTTACCTTATCACAACCAGCCGTGAAATTCTTTCTTTCTTTTTTTTTTTTTTTTTTTGCCAATGGGTGCGGCATTCCGCGTAGTAACTATTAGCCTGGTATTGAGTGAAAAGTATTTGTTAGAGTCTACTTTCTTTTTTATGCGGTAACTGTTATCCACTTAAATCAAAAGTAAAATCTGCCTATATGATCTCAATCTGTTGTTACATCAATAAAACTACGATATCGTTGGTGTGATACATCGATTTACCATATTTAAATTTTCCATTAAATTTTGTTCATACTTCCATATTATATGGAAATTTATTAAAAAAAAAAAAAAAACAAGTCTTTGAGAGTAATATATAAGCTTGGATAAGAGTTTAATTTAACATTTCTAGTTAATTACAACAACAGAATTGTAACCATATTTTTTTGAGAAAACTCCTGGCAAGTAGACTAATTTTTTATACGGACCTGGAAATATATTAAATATTTCACATAGTGTATATATTGTTTTATATTGTATTAATTAAGCATTTTATCTTTATAATTTTTTCTAATAAAATATCCATAGCCTTTTATTATAAATAAATCAAAACAGCGCATTAAGTAATGATTAAAGAATTCAAAAGTATCCTTTATACTTAAATATTACTTTTACTAGTATAGTCTATGAGTTTATACAACAAATTAAAACAATATTTACAAAAATTTTTAATTTTAAATATAAGAGTAGAAATTTCGGTAATTAACAATGAATATTGTAAATATTTGTATGAGATTTTGTACCAATTTATATTTATATTGATACTTATTATTTCTATTTTAAACATTTAAATTTGGTTATTGAATTTGATAATACAATATATTGTTAAATATATTTTTAAAAAATTTTGTAAATTACATTATTATTTCTTTATGGCACATTGCAACGTATTGTTAGCACAAGTCATACTTTACTTAAAAATACAATAAAGGATATCAGCCATATTAGATCAAATATATTACTAATTTAAATTTAGTTTTTTTTTTTTTTTTTTATTTAATCTTACACGTGCTGCTAACAGATTTTGCACGGTAATGGGTTCTATAATATAATATAATGCTACATTTTATAGTTTAAAAGTATCGGTTACCTTTTACAGATAAAAGCCATTGGATATGAAATATATAACTTTACTTTTATAAATTTAGATTTATACAATAAATTTATAATACTTTGATCCTTCCTTACAGCTACACAAATATTATGAATTACTTTAACATGCACATTATTTAGCTACGTAACGTAATTTATTTATATGGTAATATTAAAAAAAAAAAAAAAACTTAATCAAATAATCAATGATGATATATTATTTACTACCAAGTCTACTAAATGCCAATTATTACAATACAGTAATTCTCAAGTATAATATAAGTAACATACATACAAAAAATTCTTTACATAAACTAGCAACATAATCGAAATGATTGTCGATTTAAACTTATACATAACGCAGCTCTTACTTGCAGGAAGCATAAGAATAAACGTTTTGTGAACTTGTACATATTATGTATCTTCTGTAAATACATTAATGCATTAGAATGGATGTAATTTCCGCACACATTAGGGAATTTTGACAGCGGTGCTGGGTGCGTTTCTGGGACAGGGCAGGAATCCGGATCAGGTGGCTGTGATAGCCGGACAGGCGAGTGAGGTCAGTAGTCGTGTACACACGCCCTCACGCCCATGCCCACGCACACGTACACGTACACGCACACCAACACGCGCAGACAAAAACACAGAGGACATATACCTACATATCTATGATTAAACTTATATGTATACTTGTAAGCGGTGTAGACGCAGGTCACGCTTTTGTAAGATAAATGCCTCTAGTTTTTTCTCATGTTTTTTTTTTTAAGTAAGGGATTAAAGGAGGAAGGATATTGAAAATTGTTCTTATTGTTATTATTATTATTATTTCTTCTTCTTATTATTATTATTATTATACTATTGTTTTATAGTATTACCGTAGTAAGGCGTAAGTTTTTAGAAAAACTAAAATAATAATAAATTTAACACGTTGAAGTAACAATGTCTTATTACTGCTATATATTGTTTGTGTTGTATTAATCCGATTTTTAAAATTATCAGTATATATTACAAAATTATGCACATGGATTATCTTCAACATTAAAAATATCTTACATATTAATTAATTTTATGAAATATAAAAATTCAAAAATATATTTGAAAATTAATAATCAAAATTTTTTATTTCTAGTAGACATATATTTTGAACATCCTTCTTTTCTATATTTAATATGTTAATAATAAGTTGTTTTCTTTGTTGTAAAATAGTATTTATTTATATTGTGTGCGACTTTATGAGACCCATATGACATTTCGATATTATTTAACTTTTTAATGATATTTGACGCCGTTTTATTTCACTAATGAAATACTTTGGAGATGAAATTACAGAATGACTAGGATTGAATACTTTAAAAATTTAGTCAATGTATGTGTTAAAACTTTCATATGAAAGTACAAATTAATTTCGTCTAATTTTCCAAATCTTTATTAAACGGAATAGGAATTTATTTTTAACTATTCAATATATTCAACATTTACATTTTACGAATTGTTTATCATTATATTACAAAATCTTGACCAAAATCTTCATCAAAATTGACAAAGACTTGCACATACAGACACACTTTACTAAAAATACAGAAAAATTCCTAAATACTACTAGAAGAGAATTTTTTCGTAAATAGTATCTAGAAATTTATAAGAGCATAACTGACATAAAAGACGCTTTATTAGTATTTTACGAATAGTCATTTAAGGTAATAATACATTCTTTTTAAATAAATACAAATGACTTCTTATTATTAAAACATTTTTTTTCTCTACGATATTTTATTAAATAAAAAATATTCAAATATAGTATATGTTATAATGGTACTTTTGAATATTATATTATGGATTAATATAAAATTTTTTTTATTTATAATGTTTATTATCGATTAATTTTGATTAACTGATTGAACTGGTAATATTAGTAAGTAAAGTCATGTAATTAATTTCTCATAATAATGAGATTTAAGAGATATTTAGTACGTCATGAAAATATTTTAGAGCTCAAAAACTGTTAACTATAATACGAATGTAAAAGTAATGTTTTATGTCTTATGGTGTTCTAAACGTTAATCAATAAAATTATGTAAATATAATCGCAACAACTTTATGACAAAATTCTCTCCAAGTGGATTACAAATTATCGATAAAGTGAAATAGAATTAGAAAATTTGACAATTTTGAATTAATATTTACACATAAGATATTGTTCCTAAGTGTCATTATATTGCCCTAAGCAGTTCATCAATATCGTCATCAATCTTCTGGACGCCTTGAAGACGTCCTTCTCACATCGTTCCTTCCAGGCTCGCTCACTCGGAAGAAAGGACACGGTTTCTGAAGCCGCAGTAGCCTCTATTTCTATGCTCAAGGTAATTAATTATTGACTTGCTTTTCCTGCCCTATCAATAAATCTATATTATCGGTATTACATCTATAATCTATCTATCTGTATCTTGTATATAAATATTTATAATCGATATATTTGTATTACATAATCAGTAGTCAATATTGTATCACTTGATTTCAGTTTCGTAAACTTGCATATTCTCTGTTTGACTTATTGACTTATTAGCTTATAGATCTGTAACGTTTCCTTTCGTTTTATAATGAGAAACATTAATTAATAAGCATAATGATTTACCTCATATTTCAAGTAAATCATTCCAAGATAATCGAATATTAATATTTATTTTCTGGCATAGAATTATTTATATCGAAAGCAGAATAATAAATAATGATTTATAAGACTCCTGTATTCTTTAAAGTTCTTGAAAGAGATGAAATTTTGGATAAGCTTCTAGTCAAAAGAGGCATAAGCGTTCTTATCAACCAATTTGTTTCCGAGACGTTATGACCCTCGTATAAATTCCTTATTTAATCGATATCATAATATTCCAATATATTCGGTTTGCAAAGTGTGATGTGAACATAAGATGATCGAATTGAACGGTCCTATGGATCTGCTCTACGTTGCAGCGAACTGTATGATAATATTAAAAAATGCGATAAGCTTTATGATGAATAGTTACCGAGTAAGGCAATAATAGCGAGTGATCGATTTTCTAGGGATACGTCAGATCGATGAAATCCTTTAGTAACGTTGGCCGCGCGGAAGAAGAGGGACAGAGAGGATGTGCCGAGAGAGCGCTTTGCGAAGCCAGTGCAGAGTGCGCCGCTGACTCCCAGGGGACCACTTCCATTTTCTGCCAACTTGGATCGTGAGTATTTGTATTTTAAGCACGTGTCTGCTATAAGCGAGTTTAATCCAAGAAGCTGGGGAAAGGAGAAAGATTTGCAACGGCGTTCTCGACCCCAAAAGCAGGAATAACGTTAATGTCAGCGAAACTGTCGTGCACATTTAAGGATACATCTACTGATATACAGGATTTTTTTTTCATGCAAAGATAATTGGAAACGTATATATATATATATATATATATATATATATATATATATATATACTTACATACATCTATTCGCATATTTCTGCATTTAACAGAGATTAATTGATACGACATTAACGATACATTTGATTATAGATTAAAAATTATTACTATAATTAGTTTATTAATAATTTGAATCGTTTCACAATTATCTTAAACAAAAAAAAATAAGATAGGTATATAGAATTTCGTTTTGTTCACGAAGAAATTTATCTTTTCAGATATCGTATTATTAATTAGAAATTTTGAGATCTGAATTTGAAATTAATGTACTTAAATAATTTTAGTTTGCAGAACATTATAATTGTACTTCAATTAAATTAATTTTTTAAGATCAATATTTCTTTACAGTATTTTCATGCTTTGAAAATTCATTCTTATACGACGTTAATTTTATTAAATATATTTAAAGAAAATTATAAATAAAAACATTATTGAGCCTGCGAAAGATACAGTTTTCATCAATTAATTATTTCTCACTTAGTATTAATAATCAGTTCTTAAAAAATCATCTCATGATTATTGCCATTTTTCTAAACAAGTATATCTCCACGGCAAAAGAGTTTAAGAGTTTACGTTGCTGACGTTAACTGGAAATTGCACATTTCAGGTACGCGACAAGTTATCTTCTCCAGCGGCAAAGCGGCGTCGGTTTCGAAGCTTTATACGAGGCGGGAAGACGCGGACGTTCCGGAGAGGATTGCAGGACACTTTTTCTCGATTGTAACGCCGTCTGAGTTGCAATAGTGACATGAAGCGCTCTCATGCGCACCAACAAGCACCCACATACAAATCTCGACGTGACGCGATATTAAACTAAATAGACCATGTAAATGATCATATTATCATTATCATTGACATCGCTTATATATTAAGATATATAATTGTAGTTATAAATGACACGAGAAAAAATAGAGAACCGGGCTAGATATTTTTCGGGGCAATTATCGACTGATGCTAATGGGGCTTTATGAGGTTTTTTTTTTGCGAGCGTACGACTTTGTGAAGGAAAGTGATCAAATGGCGTCACGCGGTTCTATGAAAATCTTATAAAAATTTAGTTTTCATTGTAAGAGTTTTTCTACATAAAACAATGGCAGACGTATAATAGAGGTTCGACATTTTTTCGTGTACATCCTCACAAATATTGATATGGATGTTTTTAGACGAGACGACTTAAGACACTGCAATTGAAATTTAGAAGAGAAAAAATAATTTGCGATAACTCAAAGGACGAAATATGTAATCGTTATGCCGAAATTGCGAAGGTATAGTTCAGGAAAATAGAAAGTGCAAAGCTGAAAGGAAAATGAGAACAAATATATAATGTAGAAGCATTTTCCTTAGAAGTAGACTGAAGGAGACTTGGGATATAGATGAACTTAATGGTCGTCTTTATGTTCAGCTATTTGCTCAAGATACTGAATAAAAAAGAGAAACACGATAATAAAAACTAATTTATTTAATTATTTATTTAACGAGCGTAGAAATTTATTAAGCTTGGGCCTTTAACTGCCTGTACAATTATACCTTTTAACATGCGTAATTAGCATATTGTCTTTATCTTACACTTCATCGTATTATTATTTGAAAGAGATTAAAAAAATTCATTTATTCTCTTTTTCATCGATATGATATGCCGGTAGTTGCATATACTGATAGTCTAAGAAATCATTACTTTCCATAAATCAGATAATTTTTTGTGTCGATCGGGAGGAGATTAGCTTCGAGCAGTTGGAATCGATTCGGTAATAATCGTTTAGCGGGTCCTATCGCCATTAAATTATTTTGTATTACAAAAATGATTTCATTCTCAAAATTATGATAATTTAGGAATTAAAATATATTAATTTTAAATAATATATATTTTATAATATTGGCGGTTGAATTTTTTTTAAAAAGCGTTTGGGCGTGGACAATGGCCCTCCCGTATTTCAACAGAGTTAATATCTCAGGACTATTCATTATGTTTTTTTTTTTTTTTTTGTTGTACTCGTATCGCATTTTCTTAGTCCATTGATACTTATTATTTTTATCACGATCATTCTTTATTTCGTTATGTATATAGGCGTAATATGTAAATGCATTACGCAAGCTGGAGTTGAGCAATGATGTTATAATTTAGCTTACAATTATCATATAATGTATAATTTTTGTATGTATGTGTTGAGATATGATTCTACTTTTAACAAGTATAACAATAAAAAATTCTTATTAAAATGTATGCCTTTTTTATTCGACATTACTTTTACTAAATGATGGCGTTATGCAACATTTAATTGTAACGATTAATACTTTATATTTGTCGGTTCTATGGTTGATATTAACATTCTTATATATTATTGCATTATAAATTTAACGATATATATAAACATTTATTTCTGAGTTTTATTTTAACTTAATAAGAACAATTGTAATAAGAGTTTAATGTGTAATTTCAAGAATTTTATTTTTTAAATCTCCATAGTTTTTAATCCTTTGATGCGAATTTAAAATTACTTGGTGACATAAATGAAGGTGGATATTTTGATTGACCTAAAAAGAATTCGAACTCTTCGCCAAAAGTGTAGACAAAGAATTTAAAGAGATCAATTATCGCTAGAGGTATAGGGTGAGATTTAGCTCCCAATATAAATTGGTATTGAAAATTTCCGATAACCGCGCTTCATTATTTTATTAATTATTTCATCTGCTTTCACATATCTCACCTGCCAAGTTTCTTACATATATAAAAATTCTTTTTCCATTAATCTAGGTTTAAATTGATATTTTCCACTGATGCACAATATAATTAAATATAATTAAAATGAATAATTTATAGAGTAACTTATTTAATTATAGAAAATTAAATAAGATGTCTATTAAGATTCTATCTATTCTTTAGGAACAAAATTACCGTAATTTTTTCAAAGATCAACTAACCTTAAATTACATACTTAACTAAGCTTAAAGCACTTGGGATGAGTTGTATACGTTATTTTTATCTATTATTTTCATATTAGTGTCTTACACTGTCAAATCACCTTTTAGATATCAAAACATTTCCATAATTTTCATAATTTTGTCTCAGAAGTGAGCAAGGAGCAATTACCTCGTAGTCAAAGCGAATTGTCGAGGTTTAAATTGACCGAGAATCCGGTTGACGCCAATTGTTCACGGATCGTAGCGATTTAAAAATAGAACAAAAAGTGCGCAAATACAGTTATGTGTATATATGATGAATTTAATTGTCACTGCATACGATAATTATGGGATGAAGACGAAATTCGAGGAGCGGAAAACTTCATGCTTGTTGGTTTCAAAGAACAAGAGAGTCGAGCTATTGAGTCTGTTGCAACTGCTCGAGCTGAGAACTTAGAAATTTTAACGTGACGCGACTTTGTTAAAACTTCTATTATTAGAGTTACGCAAATTTAGGATTCAGGATTTTGCAATGACGTTCAAAGAGTTGCTGAATTTCGGAAGATATCAGGAGACACAGGCAACACCTCCGTTGGACCAATACTATAATGATTTTAACAGTCATGATCGCGGATGGCACGGGTAAATTACTATAATAAATATTATTATAATTTATTGACGTCTTATAGTTTTACATAAATATAATAATGACATATTATGCGAATACAGTTGATGTAGAAATAATTAATTCAATTAACTTTATAATCTAATGATATATCAATCACTTATCATAAACTTAAAATGTAGAAATACTTTTCTACAGAAGTATTTTTTCTCAAATAACTCATTCAAAGTTATTATTTAATAGAATGTAGAAAGTTGATAATTTTCTATTTAGGTCCAAAAGTAAAGGTCATAGTGGAGGTAGTGGAGCTGCTATTAGTGCATTAACCCTCTTAGCATTTTTATTTCTTTTAAATGTAATGCAGGTACGTGTATAGATTATAATTATAGAATCAAAATATTTTGTTTTAAAATTATTTTATAATTATTTTTACATGTATATTAATTCTTATTTTTTTTTTTTAATTTAAAAGTTGAATTATTGGCTGGATGTTTAAATAAATTTTCATAAAAATTCATAAGTTATATTTTGAATTATTATTATATTAAAAAATTACATGAAAAACAATTAACATACTTCTTAAGATTCAATACTTTTAGTTTGTTTCAATAATGTTTACCATTTTTATTTATAGAGCAAGTATTATTTATAGTGTATGTAATATTATTTAATTTCACATTATAGAACGTATGAGAGTGAAAAAATTTATTAATATATTCTTTAATCAATAGCAATCTTTACAAGATAATAATAATTCTACTGCTACAACGACAGCTACGACAATATTTTTGCGGAACATTGAGCCGCCGATATCGTTAGCATCAAGAGCTGATGAAAATAAAAATATCGAAGAGGATGTTACGGAAAATCCGAATCGGAATAAACCGGAAGAAAAAATATCATATATTAAGATAAAAAATCCGTAAATGAATTAAAATTACCAACTCGATAATTTATATAACGTAACATTTTTATAAAAGTAATTTATAAATAATATGTAAGTATTTAATAAATATTGAAAATATTTAAAATTTTAATTTTCCTATTAAAAATATAAAATATCTTAAATTATTTTAATAAATGTAATTGTTGAGTATATATCTTAAGTTATCTTAAGTAGTAACTATAAATAATTTATATATTTCATTAATTTATTTCATATATTATATGTAAAAATTAAATATGTGGGCAATTAAATTTAATAGACAAATGTAAAACACATAAACATTTTATTTTTTGAACATGAGGTTGTTGAACGACTCGCATAATGTATTAGCATTCGAAAATGTATATTTTTCTCTCGCAAATACTTTTTATGTACATAACATTAGAAACACTTAAATATTCTTCTTTTTATGTCTCCTAGTATCTTATGCATCTCGAAAATAACCATAAATGTTTATGTATTGCTAGGGAGAATCAGGTATTGTTTCGCATGTCTTTTGACTATGACAGATATTTATTGTTCAAATTTTTTTTTTCATTAATTTTTTTCTATGATTTTATATATCTTTATTTCTTTTTCGGTGAAATACATACTTCTTTATACCTAGTCTGTATTTATATTTATTCAAGAGCGTAAGTAAATCAGATATTTTCATAACATTAAAATGTTTGGAAATTAAAAAATATTTATGCATGCCATTTACTTTAAAATATACAATTATTTCAACTTTAATTAAAAAATAAAATGTATATTTACGTTACAATTACTTCAATTGTGAATAAATTTCTATGCACAAGTTATTTTTTATATTATAGTTATAATTTTTAAAAGTTTTTAAATCAAATATTAATAAAATAATTTTTATTAAAAAAATACAATTATTTTTCGTATTTAAGTGATAAATTACTAAATTTCTAAATAAATTTAGAATAGCAAATTAAAAAAACGCGTTTTTTATTTAAAGTGTACTCAATATTCTCTATCTCAAGTTCACGATTTTTTCTTTTTAATATTTATTTTCCATTCACCAAAGAAATATACATGTGATATTCTTTAATTCTTCAAGAATGTACTATATGTATTTAAATTTTTTAATTTGTTGCTAGAAAAGGGTTAGAAAAGTCGTCAATAAAATACAATAACAATGTTTTAATAATTTTTTTACGAATCGAATTTCGGCGCAAATTTGTCGCTCACTTTTTAATCATCTCCTTGGCATATGAGATGACATATATCGGGACATAAAAATTAAAAATTAATCTACATGTATTTATTTAAAACATTTTATTTATTTTTTGCATAATGTTGAAATATCATTTAACAATTTTATAATAAACCAATTAAAGAAGACATAAAGAACATTTCTTAATCTTGACTGATGTCTTTCATTGTTTTCCAATTATTCATGGTTAGATAGATTTTTAATTTTTTTCCACCTTTGGTAAAAAGTAGTGACGACGAAATTTCTCCTAAATTTTAATATAATTCAATTTCTTTTTTTCAATTTATATTTCTTTTGTTTTTTGTAAGCAAAATTCACTCTTCTATACTTAACTGTTGCACGCACTATTTACATATTTTGTTTTTAATTGTCAATCGTTCGAGCAACCTGGAGAGACTTTGTTAATTCATTTTAATTATCAGATTACTAATACAAGTCATTAATTTTATAAATTATCATGTATCCTTTTTAAGCGTAAATATCTTTAATACATAACAAACTCCTTTCAATAAATTCTTTTTTATAAATATCATTTTAATAATTCTATTATTTCCATTTTTATTTTAATACAAGTAATTCAAAAATTAGATTGAGTTTTCCATTAGAAAAATATTTATTATTTAACAAAATTATTCTCGAAAGCTGTTTCTACAAATATTATCTTATTTTAATGTTTATATTAATATTATAGTAATTTGTATTTCAAATTATTACAGTTGTTTTTCATTATTATTTAACAAAGTCTCTCATTACAGAAATAGTGCTAGTATGTACTATTACATTTGTTAACAAAGTTGAAATCATCGGCACATACAAGAAGTACTTCGCATTAGAAATAGAATAAGTTTATTTCAATTACATTATCCTTTTACTTGTAACAAATTGATGACTATTAACTAATTTTTTCATTTCATTTTGATCAGTTTTTACGTGATTTTAGTTCACAATTTTGAAATTCATGAACAATGCAATTGCTGTTATTATGAAAAATATTTTGGATTAATAGGTTTTTATTAATATAAATATTAAAAGTATATAAAATAAAAAGTATATATTTTACACATATAATAGTTTATTCTAAAATGTAAATGTGGAACTACAAATAAAATATGTGTCATTTAAGAAATTTTTCTATGTGCCAAATTAGGCATTAATTCATATTTTATTACTTGTTTTTGTAAAAATTATTGTTTATTGTACATATATTATTCGTTCACCAATAAAAACTTACAAAGTTGTACATTATTAAATTTGAACTAATTATATCTTTATTTAATATTGTGGAGAAAATAATTACAGTTCTTTGAAAATTTTTTTTTTTTTTTTTTTAAACGAAAACATTAATTTAATTCTTATCGTTGACTAAATAGTCTATCAATCATAAATAATAATTACGAAGCAAAAGTATTTTGTTACAATACTCGAGTAATATTTTATTAGTAATTTACTCTTTCTATATATATGTATATGATATTTATGTTACTAATTAAAAACATTTTTAAGATTTTACATATTTTTGAAATAATACGAATAGTTTTGTTTCAAGAATATTTCAATTCGCTGTTAATTAATTATTCTTTTAATCATTCGTATTAATAATTGGTATTTTAAAAAATAGTTGACTACATCTATCATTGAAAACTTTAAATCTATGTACAGTATGAGTAAAATAGTAAAAACTATAGTTTTGGTAAATATGGACGCTGCAGTAACAATATTATATCCTGCACAAAAACAATTTTTTCTCCCTATTAATATACCATTCAAAAATTTTGTTCTATTAGATCGAATAATTTATTTAAAATTATTATCGATTTAAGAATAGTGAATTATTGATAAACTAAAATCTAACATATTGGATCAAATGAAATAAGTACAATTAAATTAATATTTTAGTTTATAATTTGTACCATTTAAAAAGTTTAATATTGCTTCATAAACAAATAAGATTCTATTCAATTTATTTCGCAATAGGTTGCTCAGTCGGTAATTTATCGACATTGTTGTTTATTACTATATGTGAATAGCGATTACAGAGTTGATGCTAATACGTCAATTCCTATACGCGTTCGTTCGACAGCTATTCGTTAATAAGGGATTTGCGGACTTATAACATTTTATTACACACGTTTAATGACTTTGTTTAGTACTTTGTTTGAACACAGTATAGTTTGTCGTTGGCGCCTCTGCGAGTACTCGAGTCTCAAAAGAGGTGAAAATGCGGTTTCCATAAATTTATATTAGTTTTTTTTTTTATTGCGTTAGTTTCTTTCACTCTGATATGAAAGGTGTTAAATGTCAAAGAATAAATAATATGCTGAATATAATAGGATTTAACCATAGATAATAAGCTAAAAAAATGCCGTTGAGTATATTCTCAAAGTATAAAGTTTGATTCGTGGGTTTTCTGTTCAGTGCCTTAGTATTTTAAGAATGTTCTTTTTTTTTATGAACGAAAATAAATTTGAACGCATTAATTGTAAGTTTTTATAAAAGCTCATTTGGCCGTTTAAAATTATTGTACATGTAACAATAACAAAAGATTGATAGAAAAACAGTTTTTTTTATTGTAGTCTTTTTTATATTTATATTAGTATTACTACTTTGTGCTTCTTTTATAACAAATTTTATAATAATACAGATGTAAATAATGATCTTAAAATAATGAATGATTTTTCAGTTTTACTCAACAGTACTTTTTCATCAGATTATGAATTCCAACAATTCGTTTCTTATATGCATAATTAAACAATTTTTCTTTTATAAAGATATTATTGAAAATAGTGTAATTTTCTTTCTTATCTTTTACGTGAATCATGTTACTTAATTACATAGTTTAGCGATATATCCTTAAAGGCAAATCGTTAAAATCGATTAAGAAACGATCAACTACTACCAATAATTTATCTATGTATATAATTTATGGATAATTACGTAATCATTGCTCTCAATAATTAACTCTTATTTTATTACAAAATCATTATCTTAATTTTTAAAACATTTCAATTAAAATTTAATTGTATGTCAATATGCAAAAAATAGTATAGTTAAATCAATATTAATAAACTAATATTAAGTATCAATAATTATTCGGACATACAAATTAAATTAACCGACTATTAATGCTAAATATTTTTCATTTAATAACGAACTTTTGATTAGTTTTCACAGAAATTTTTTTCCTTACATAAATGGAAGAAACTCATCAAGCATTACGATATCTTATTTTCTTCTCAATATTTATGGTATAATTGTATTTACAAAACGACAAAGAATATAAATGATCGATGGGGGTGCAAGACATATGATGGAGCAGAAGATTTAATAAGCACAAGATACAATAATGTCTATATACTATTTTTACTCTTATGTGTTTGTGTTTGTGTGTGTGTGTGTGTGCGTGTGTTTGTGTGTGTGTGTGTTTGTGTGTGTGTGCGTGCGCGCGTTTGATAAAAGCCAAAAATCAGTCGACATTTAAGTTTAAAGTATAATAGTAATAATTCATTTATGTATATTATATCGTATAATAATGGAGGAGTCTTTAATAGAAATAAAGTAGCTGAATACAATATTTTCACATTTTTTATTATCATTATTATATTTAAAATACCTATCATCAGTGACGTGCGGTAAAATTTTAGATAAATTCGATGTCATATATATCAATATCATTTTAATGCTGCATTTATCTAAATTTTTGTTTTTTAATACTTATCGAAGAGGCTCGAAATGAAATTATTTCCTTTAAAAATAATAATTACTTTCTAATTTACTTTAAGTTCGTTATTAACGAATAATTTAATAAAAGTCATATCCAAAATGAAGATTAAGAGATTTATTTTCAAACATATAAAAGTTTCATCTTTATTGTATCAATAAATACTGGACTTTTAAATTATTATCATTACTTTAGCCTACTTTTCTCTTTACGCAACATATTAAATTTCAAAATCTTTATATCGTTATGGCAAAATTTAACAATTTTTAACAACCAAGTCTCGAAATTTCACTGTATCCCACTCTATTTATAAAACGAGGTTATGGATAATATTAAATTAGTTACATTTTTATGTATTGGCTTCGAGTTAATCTCGAATACTTGTTTTATTCTTAAATTTGACGATTTTATGGGAAAAAAGGGATATTAAAATTGATAAAATATTAAGTCCTATAAAAGCCAAATTTTATAGAATTTTATTTTAAGCATTAACACATTAATACCGATGAAAAATAATTGCATCGTGAAAAAGTACATTAGCTTATAAAAAAATATTCTCGAAAAATTGTTAGAAATTTTCTCTAACTTACATTTGTTTATGTAGGAATTGAATTGTAAAATTCGTAAATTCAAGAAACTCTTATCATAATATTATTAAAAAGTTAATTATTTTCTACACACACCATTAACAATTTATTCTTTGCTATTTATTTTTATACCATTTAGATAATTCGATTGAAATTTTAATGCAAATAAGTAGTAGAGAATTGTAAAATGTTAATATATGTAAAAAATTTGAATTTTTATCTAAAATTTATATTATAAATTTTAAATATCTATCAAAAAAAGAAAAAAAATTTTTTAGTAAAATTTTTGCAATTTAAATCTTAAAATCTCATATTATTAGTAATATTGTCAATTGCAATAGATTATTTTATATCCGTTAATAAATTATTTTATGAAAACAAGACGCCTTTTTCACATTATAATTTGCAAAATAGTCGTGACGTTTAGAATCAAGCTGAAAAAATATTTATGTGTTTCATTGTATTCTGTATACAAATTATATCACATTTCTTTATTCATTAGTCTTCAATTAACAAACCAGCTTCAATAATTTTGATGGCCTTTAAACTTTTACAAAAGTATTCATATCTTTTAAAAATCAGTTTTTGAATGAAGAAACGAAATAAGTTTCTCGAATATACGAATTTAGTATTTTGCAGCGACTGCAAAATTAATCGATAATTCAGTGTACAAACGCTCTTAATATTTGTCATTGTTATTGTTTTTGTCCTTAGTTGTGGGAAAATGACATATCAGTCAATCACAGTAATCGCAACGAGATTGCCAATAAGATTGAAATGAGAAGCTGCATGACAAATAAAAAAAATGGTCTATGAAGGAATATATAAAAAATTGTTTTCAATGATTAAGACATACAGACAAAATTAAAAGATGAATCTTTTTGCTATTAGCCTACAGGACATACTAATTATAAGTTAAATTATTGCATTACAAAATTACTTCAGGTCAATATTATATTCATATCTATAAGGGCCTCTGACAACCAAATAATTCATGATCCCGAGTGATTCTAAAATGATGACTTTTATCATGATCGCTCGGTAATCCGAGTAGCGACTCGACTTCAACAATTATACAAAGGATTATTAAACCCTTAAATTCTTACACATGTTCATCCTCAGTCTCTTCTTGAGATATGATGCTAGATCTATTTGAGCTTACGTCGAGGTCCATCGCGAAGGGTTTGATACTTGCGTTGTTGTCATGTCGATTATGTGCATGTCCTCGTGACATGTACAAGATGTTGCGATTTGGCTGGGACGAGCTGTTGTCACTGGAAATACAGAAACAAATTTCTACTAAATCACCAGAGATTCGTACACGATATATCCCCCCCACCCCACCCCGCATGTGCCCTTGGTTGTCGCATACTACATGGAACATTGGCAAGAGACCTTTACCATTTTTCATCAAGTGTTACTTCTTTTTAAGTTCTGACTCAAATCATTGTAGTTGTTGTTAGTTTATTGACGTCCGTTAATTTTATTTGTACTGATAGACTCTACTGGCAGTACTAAATGTTTGATAGCTGTTACATTGACTATATTTTTTAAAACTTATTTCTTCATGGCTGTGTGATATATGAACATAACTATACTCAGAATCTCTATTAATAATACGTTTATATAAATGTAATATATATCTTAAATGCAAATTAATTATAACGTTTATAGGTAAAAATAAATATGAATTAAATTAATCAAGGATAACTTAAAATATTTAAATGATAATTTATACTACTTTTTATAAGCATCTATTATATATTGTCTTTTTGACATTTGATGTGTTTTTTCATTATTATTAATAAAGATCCCAAAATGCATGAATGAATTAAATTATGAGAAAACTAACTATCAAGTGCATGATGAAAGAAGCCGAAATAATGAATATTGTTTTTATTTATAATACTTGAGAAATTACTAAATTATATTACTTACAATAATAAGATGGAGTTCTCCTTAGTTATATGCAACAGGGAAAAAATCTCGTTTTATTATACGAGTATTTTTAAGTTTTACCACTTTGTCATTCATTCGTATATTTTCGATCAATGAAACTAAAACTAAACAACTAAATGAATATTCACGATTCTATAAATACACTTTTATCAATAACTATTTTGTACTATATATATATATATATATAAATATATAGTATATAGTATATATAGTAAATTTATAGTATATATATAAATATATTTTATAGAACATTCAATTTTGAAAATAATGTTCCCATATAAAACATGCAGTGCATTATATTTTAGTCTTACGATTCATTTAATTAACATGCAACAAATCATATATTATATAGATTTTTCTAATAGACCATTACCAAGATATAGGTAAAATAAAAAATTGTATGAAAAACTGTTGTATCAATATTTATAATGTTAAAACTATTTATCGATCTATGAAATAATAGAACGTATTTATAAAGAATTATACGTCTTTTCTCTTGTACAATTAAAGAAAGCGTGAAATAAGATTTTTCTTTTAATTTCACACATGAAATAATAAATAGAAAGTATATTGTAAACAAAATGTCAGAAATAGATTAGAAAAGTAATTTAATAATGCAGAATTTTTAATATATAATTAGTAAGTGCAATTTGTAATGTTGAACTTACTGTTATAATAATTAAAGCTATAAGACATCGAATGAAAGAAATCTACATAAAACGACCTGCATTTTCATAATCTATAGCATAGATTCGCACACGGTTTATTATTTATTGTACGTACGTTTTAAACTAAAAGCAAGATCCTGCTAAAAGTTGTAAAAATCCAGACTGCTAGATGTAATATTAATTTCATTAAGTATTCATTATGGCAAAGGAAAATCGATAACATCAACGTTTAATACAAATTGTTAAATGAATTTTAGTATTAAATTTATTGTAAGATTTTAGATAAATTTGCAATAAAATATCTGTATTATAAAAAGTTCAGCGAAATAAGAAAAAATGTTTAAGAAATTATTAAACAAATTAACACAGAAATGAACTATAAGTTGTAGAAAAAAAAAAATAAAAAAAAAAACAAAATCAAAGATATTTGACTAAATATCTCTCAATGCTTTTTGTCAAATTCTTATTGTTATTCTATACGAAATATAGAATTTATAAAAATGCGCATTAATATAAATTATAGATTATGTTAAGAATACTAATGGATTGGATAGTTCAATAATAGTCTTGATGCTTAAAAATATTTTCAACCCTTAAATTCTACATTTGCTAGCATTGGCGAGTCTTCAAACATTCGTCTTTACAATATACATTGCTTTATTTATTTATTTTTTTTTTTTTTGCATGGAATTTAGTTCAATACAAGGACATGTGAAGACTGCGCCGCAGGTCAGAGTTCACTTCTCAAGACATGCGAGAGTAACGAATAAACAATTACGTGTCGCCGGACTGCTCGTAATCGATATAGATGTGTGACTCATATGCTCTTATAATTTAGTAGCAAAGATTATGTTTACACATTGTTCCTCATGAAAAATGGACAAGATCCGTTGCGTACTCTTTACCTGACAACATTGCTGCGATCAGAGCTTGCGGGGCAATTTTCCCCGTTGCAGACGCCGTTGCCGCTACTCTCGGCGTTGGCGACGCTCCTGGCATTTGCGCTGCAGGACAGCGAGGATTCTCTCGTCGAGTCTGTGCCATCGCGTTGCATCGAGGCCCGCCGCGACTTCTCGTGGCACTCACACCTACATTCTTCTGGTTGCACATAGCTGTATTGGGCCTATGGTTTGAAAGTAGAATATATTTGGAATAGTGATTTAGCTATTAAAGCAAATGGACACTCGTGTGACGGTGCCACTTTCTTTAAATATTTCTGCTTCTTACTCTGCTTCTATGGGGATTTGGCCCAATATTTCGCAAAATTTTTTGAGTTATAAACGAATGTTATTTACACGTTGAAATAAAGATTATTTTAGAAATGAAACTAAATTTTCTAGAATTGTTTTCGTAGCTTCTTAAACTTTATTATGATTAAACAAAAAAAAATTATAAAATAATTAATAAAATTGATGAACGAATGGAAGTGTTTAAATGCACAAGCTAGTGTATATTTCATGCTTTTTTCTTATCTTTTATTTTTTTTTTTTAATGATCATTTTATTCTCTATTAATTTGAGCGAATTAGTATTTAGATAAATTGTGATTATACATACGATAAGATACAAAGGTGCGTAACAATTTGAAAATTGTAGTTAATCAATGATGATTAAATAAAAAAAAAAAAAAAAAAAAAAAAAATAAAAAAAAAAAATATACATACGATAAGATACAAAGGTGCGTAACAATTTGAAAATTGTAGTTAATCAATGATGATTAAATAAAAAAAAAAAAAAAAAAAAAATATATATAAGATAAACACACATGCGAATTTTATATGCCAAATTCATATAGTTCAACATAAACTCATATATTATTTCTCCACTTATTTCTCCTAAATATAAAGAAAGCTGTTCATAAATTTCGCTCAATATCTATAACTAAAAATGATATGCAGTGTAAAGCTACGCAGTTTTAGCCGTAAGATCGAATATTACATCGAACGGATCGAACTTTCTTAGCAGCATGTAAAGATAAATAGAATAAATAGAGATCAAGGTACCGATGATCTTACCACATTAGCAGCACCGGTTTGCGAGTGGATTCTTGGATTCTCTTCGAGCCTTGGTATCGTCTGTATTCTCTTTGCCGGTTTCCGCTTTTCTGGTATTTCCTCGAAGTTTATCCAATTGACTGGTCTGGCCCCGCGTGCCGACACTGTCGTTAGAACTGTCGTGGGGGCACGTGGTGGTAATGGCGGTGGACTCGGGGACTTGGTGAACCCTAATCCGCGGCTCGCAGCCGAGACACGTCCAGCGAACTCACTGAAGCTATTGTGGCCTGGAGGTCTATGGGGTGACTTTAATTTGAAGCTGTCCTCTCGCGGCAAGCAAATCTTCATCTTGTCAACGTAGCGCTGCTGATCATCGTGCGACGTGTGCATTATGAACTCATCCAGCAGCGTTGGATTAATCGGCGTCGTTGATCGTGGCCTTTCGATCGGCGTCGTCCTAAAAATTGATAATCATTTATTTCGAGCTAGGAACTCTATAAACAGATATTGAATTTGATATGACAAAAACAATTTTTTAACTCAATGTTAAAAATCCGATTCTGTGAAACGAGTGCTCACTGTAATTATAAAAACAATTTGAAATAACTAAATATAACAATTATTCCATAGCTATATCTCATTAATTGATTCTTCATTAATTAAAAGTGACATATTATTTTTCCAATCAATTAGTTTAAAAGTAGAAAAAAAATGTTTAGCATAATAATACCAAGCTATATCTCTCAACTAATTATCTCAAAGTACAATTACCTAACGTCTTGAAGTCTTTGTTTGACAGGGAGCATCGGTATAGCAACACTTTTCTCTAAGGGCAGTGTCGTTGGCACGTAAGGCAAATCCTCCTCGAAACTTTCATCGTAGCATAGTCCTTTTCTCTCGTCCGGTAATTCTTTCATACCCTTTTCTGCTTTATTCCTGATAAAATCAATTTCGGAATCGCGCTCCGATTCAGAACTGTTATGATCGAGATCGGAGTTCACACTTGGCGTTTTGGACAATGAATTTTCCGGTAAAAATAATTCGTTCTTTGGATTTTCTTTGTCAGTCACGGAATCCGAGATTTTGCCGTTTACTTCAATTTTTGATGATAGGTGCGAAGTCTGCGACGTAGACTTCGTTGCGGAAGAATTTGAGTGCTTTTTGCTTTTACGCTCAGGTTTGACGATATCTGGCTTTTTACAAATCGAGTCTCTCGACGAACTCGTGGACATTCTTTGATTTCTTGCATCATCTCTATTCTCCGAAGGTGGTTGATAACTTTAAAGAGGATTATGTTATTTATTTGAACAAATTATACGTTATTTTATTTGAAAAATAATTCTGTTTTGCCATGAGATTACAAATCAATTATTGATTACAGATAACAGATATGTTAGTTTTTATTATTCAGTGCTTGTAATAATAATGTATGTATATGCATTTAAATTTGAATATAAACAAAAAAGAAAAAAGGGAAAAAGGAAAAGGGCACTCCGAACATTTCCTATTAAGAAAGGCAAAAAAATCAAGAATATCAGAAAAACCAAAAATGTTGCCACTAATAAAGTCAATCGCCGATTCATAATTGCACAATTACATCATTGTTCCATCTACTATACATTTATATAAAGAATACCAACGTTATTTTTGATATCGAAATAACAAGAAACACTAAAATATCTCCTCATACGGCAATCGACTGGAACCACAAAAATGGAGTTATGATTCATATTGATGCAGCGATAAATAAATTACAGATTTTTCACAAATACATTTGTGATTTTATTAAATTGACAATATACTAAGTTTCGTTTCACGAGTTCATATAATTACAAGAATATTAAATATTAATTTTTTCTTCGCTTTATATTTGCCAACAAATTAATCTTAATTTATCAATTTCAATGTAATGGCATTTATGGAGATTAAACAAATTATTGTCAACTTACTACACATATTATTCGAATATTTAGTATTACATATTTATATACATATACATAGGCTAATTGTTTTTTAACATATAAAATACAGAAAATTATGAAAAATACTGTTTCTTTTTTTGATATAATTTAGTCATTAATATTTATCAGCATACATTGGATAAAAAAAAAAAAAAAAAAAAAAAAAAATTCATAAAGAAATTAATTTTTATAGAACAATAAAGGATTTACCAAACTATTTCACTATTATATATATTGAAATATAAAGGTAATGTCTGATGAATATAATCTTTGTAAAGGTAAAAATATAATATCTAAACATATATTTATTTTACAAAAATTATTAGTAGTAAAAATGGCTGAATTGAACTAAATAAATGGAGAGAAATAAAATTTTCCATTATGTTTAATGCATCCACGAAATAATATAGAGTAAAAAAAGTTTTAAAAAATCATCTATTATTTTACCTAAAACCTGCGGAGTCTTGTATATCATTAGATTTTATTATTAAATCCGTGCTCTCATCCATTTGCGAATCCATGAAATTACACTCTGGCATTTTCATACTGTCGCCCGACGACGATGAAATTCTCGCACTCTCTCTGTTTCTCCTTTCGTTTCTCCTCTGTCATTGCGATTCAAATAATTAATATACACATTATGTATATATATATATATATATATATATATATATATATATATATATATATAAATTGTAGATAAATAATTTATGAAATTTTTAATAATTAAATATTTTAATAATTAAATGGCTATTTTCGCACGAGATCATAGAAACTTATATGGTAATGTTTCGATTCGCATACAAAGTAATTTACAAAAAATTACTCCTCGATACAATTTTTTAAAACACCTGTATAATGTAGTAATGTACTTCATCTGATCTTTCGTAAAATGACTTACCGATCTTCGATGATGCTCGATAGTGGCATCGGTGCAGACGATATTTACCGAGGTCTGCTGTGGGCTAGACACATCATTCTCATCGACGAAATTTGTCGGATCATCCAGGGGAATCTCGATGCTCTCTACGGCCAACGCGGGTTCCTTTTGATTCCTGAATTCGTCGTTATCTCCATACAGACTTATAAAAATCACGTCTTCTTTCCGACTTCGCCGTGTTGGCTATCGAATCATTTGCAAATTAGGATTATGAAGGTATGAAATCATTAAGATTTGATATATTGCTAAATTCTGAAAGTACATCGCGTCAATTATTCGTTATTGATAAAACTTCCTTGTACATTAAATGTGCGCTCTAAAGAAATATTGAATTAAAATTTTGTTGTCGTTTTATTTTATTTTTTTGGAAGTATGCCGTGTTGTGGGTAGAATAAAAACTTGAATCAAACATTATTTGTGATTATAAAGGCTCGAAATGTGATTATAGAGCCCAAAATGCCCGTAAGGCACGTAATATAATAATCTCGCCTCTCTTTTATCGCGTTTACCAATTAATTTATTATTTATTACGTATTATCAAAAGTACTGTTCTCACATTCTGCAATGTTAATAATTATCGAAAGTTTTAGAAATTAAGGTAGGGAATTGCAATAATTACCGTGTTTTTTTTATTGTAGGCGAATTCAACGCAACCAATGCTGTTGAGGTTCCCTTGTGCGTCATCCAGAGTATCTGGAGTTCCGGTGCTCTCGTCGCCGCTCTTTTTTCTCTCGCGTTTCTTAAAAAGGCTGAGCGTGGAAGAGAATACGCCACTACCAGATCTGCCTCTGGACTCGGGTCGTCTACCACTCGGAGACTTTTCGCTCGAACTCGGACCCTCCCTACTCTTAGAACGGCTGCGTAGACTCTCTGCCGTGTCCTTAAGTCTATTAGCGAGGCTCGTGCGCCGGGAACTCGACGTCGGCGAATCCTGGCTCTGGATGCTGGTGTCGTCGATTCGGCTCTTTTCGGTTTGTCATTTTATTTGCAAGTTTTAAAAAAGGAGATCGAACTTTATTAGATTAGAAATTACCATCGGTACTAAAGAAAAGTGCGTAGGAGATAATTTTTTACTTCCGTACGCCATTTGCTTCATGCGAAATTCACACATTTTCTAATTGTACGAAATGCCTTATTACATTCTATAATACATTGTAATAATGAAAGTTCTTCGTTTTAAGAAAGGCCAATTAATTCCTGTCCTAGACTTCAAAACGGTATTAAATAAAAATATTTATATCATATACAAGAAATATAATAGTAAAAGCGTCAATTACATTGCTTAATTAAGTCAAATGTTAAATGACTAATTTTGTAATATAGAAAAATTAGATGTAACAATATTTTATAATATTAAACTCAATACTTAGGACATAAATAAACAACTGAATTATTTGAAAATTAAATAATTTTTGTCATTTAGAATCATTTTTCATTTTTATAATTACAATATTAATCGTAAAATCGATAACAAGTAATAACGTAATAGATTTCTAAATGGCCAAATGATACATATGTGCGTGTGTGCGCACGTGAGTGTATAATATTCAAATAGATTAATCATTATTTATTTAAAAAATGCATTTTTAAAAATTAAAAAATTAACAAAATTTTGTATATTTCATAAATATTATATATTATTATTCAATTATTACAATGTACTGTAAAACTCTATATATAAAGCTTCATCAATTGTCCTATATGGGTAAATTTTACTAAAATAGAACAGCCGAACGTGCAAAGTAGAATACAAATATTAATTAGTTTGTAATTATTTTTATATTTCAAACATTATTTTTAAAAATAATATTCAACATATTAATATAATTAAATATATTGATATCTTCACGTATAAAAGTGTTCGTGCTATTAAATAATAATACTACTCCTAACATTCAGTGAGTAATGTCCAAAGTGCAAAACATTAAAAATATACATAGTTAATACATACAATATGTTGTGATGATTGATTTTGTGCACAAAACGTAATTGACATTGTAGATTCTAATTTAACACGATTAATATTCTATTCCATACAACTAAAATTTATGCATTACAAAGTTTAAAAGGTTTTTGACATATTTAAAAATGAATAATGTACGAAAATCTTGTTGAACGCTTTTATTAATTAGAAAAATATAAATATATGAATCGAGTTTTTAAATATTCACTTTAAATTATTGTTATAAATTTTTATATTAATATGAATATATTTTAGAAAACATTATACTATTACTTTTATTAATGTTATCAAATTATAAATTTGTTCAAATATTGTTAAATATTCATCGAATTAATCTAATACGAATATATTGATATAAACTATAAATAAATCCGTTATTTATAAATTTAAGTTGGTTACAATAAAAGTAATTATTGCAATCAAACATTCGCGAAAATCTGGTCTTTGTATCAGGGTTAACAGATTTTTCTAATTTTATTAAATGGTAAGCAATTATTGATTTCATAAATTTTTAAACTTTTTTAAAAATCATAATTTAATAATCTAATTCATAATATGAATTTAATAGCTGGTTGTATATTTTTATCAAAACATCTCTCCATTTTTTAATTTATATATATATCGTTAATATATTTATATAGTTAAAATGATAATAATAAGGCAAACATTTGTTTGTGCAGTATTTTAAGTAATTTTACGTAAACCAAATTTAAATACATTTAACAGCTAAAACAAAATTGAATATAATTGATTATTTATGCATACAAATGTTAATGTATTTTTTACTACCATGATAATTGAAAGTATGTACGTGATGTGTAATGCATTAGTTTGTTTTTACATTACATATGTATCTGTCTTTTTTTTTATAACGATGAACATCAAATTTGTTTTCAGTTTTTGCAAAATTTTAGAGGAATACTTAAGGATTCAATGATCGAGCATTTTACTTGAATTTGATAAGCAAGCGAACTTTAATGCTTACCTTTTTCAATTATTTATGAAGGTTAAACTTTATCATATTTAGAATAAAACTAAAAATATTAGATTATTTCAAATTTATTTTAATTAATAATATACATTATGAATTAAATGATATTCAACAAATCTATTACAACAAATTATTATACATCAGCTTAAATACGCCAACAATACCTATTTTTACGGATATATATATATATGTGTGTGTGTGTGTGTGTGTGTGTGTGTGTGTGTGTGTGTGTGCGTGCGCGCGCGCGCGCGTGCGTGTGTATGTATATACTATATTTTGAACGTATTAGTACGATGTTTAATACAAATTATTCAATTTTCGAATTATTTATATGAAATTTAACGAAATAAAAACAATTAATATTACATACTCCAATATAAAAGTAATAAAATACTTCAAAATTCGTAAACATTTATCAGTAGTTTTCTAAATCAATGGAAAATACTTTACAAAAATATATTTTTCCGTCTAAGTTAAAGATTATATTTATAACTTGTTGAATCTGAAAAGAAATATAATTCCATTGTATTTAAATAGAGAGTCTACGAGTCAATATTTTACTTTGGAAATTTTTACCCAACGAAAAAGAGTGAAAATCATGGTTTATTTTTTACTAGATCTGAGTTATTTTTAACTCAAATCAATAAATTACAATTTTTTCTCATTGTAGAGTATGATGCAAATATCATTAAAAATAGAATGCCATGAAAAAGTTAGAAGATGAAAAATTAAATATTGCATATTTATAAACTAATAAATTATATTTTATTTCATCAATTACTTTAAAAAAAATTATTTAATCATATACATATAGATAATTTACGAATACATGTATATATATATATATATATATATATATATATAACATTTATATAAAAAACATTATATATATCTATCTATTAATTTTATGATTTATTTATTTATTTGCTTAATTTTGATAATTGAATTGATATTTAAAAATTATATAAAAATATGCATACATATTATTCTTTTATAATTTCAATATCATTTATGATATTGAAAAATGCGTGTAGAAAAATTGCTATTCAAATAAAATTTACTAAATTTTATAATTTAAGAATTTTCTGTGATTATGGATACAAATTTAAAGAATTATATCAATATCGTATTTAAATTATATTTTATACTTTTCGTATAATATGCATTTTATTAATTTAATAATACTAAACCTAAACACTTCTATTATTATAATAATAAAATATTTTTACAAGAATATCTGTCTATTTACAAGAATATTATCTATAAAAATATTTTATTTATATTATTAATTATATTCAAAGCATTATGATGCAATCGATAGAAAGCAAATTTAGGATTATAGAAAAAATTATTTGATGTGTCATTTATTTCTATATTTATGTGTAAAATTCTAAGGCACTTTATGAAAAATCTACTTATCGTTACTAACGAAGGTTCGGAATATATTATTTAAATTTAATTAAACATTTTTACAAACTTTGAAGGAATCATTCAAATTACAAATTTTTCTTTTTAAATGTAATTGAACATATTCTAAATAAATAAGTATAATCCAATGCATTTTGCTAAATCTTTTTACACAATTCTTCAAGAAATAAATCAAGCATGTATAAGTACTTAATACAAAAATATGTTTATGTGAATAAGGAATTTATCATTTAAATAATATAACAAAATAATGTTGATTCATCTTGGCATATCTACCTTGAACAGAGAAGCGAAGCTACTCTTTCTTGATACGGAAGATGGACTGGGTGTTCTTGATCCCTCTAGATCTCTCACCTTCTGGTGCCTCGAAAGTTTAGGACTATCGACAATTTCACTGCTGATATTACTAGTGCCACTGCGCGATGGCGATGTATTTAATCTTGTCTTGTACATGTCATTTAAGTCAAGAGTCACTGGTTTTTGGACTTCCGACTTGTTTGACTCATCGTCCGGCTGCTTTGGTAGTTTTATTATTGGTACCTGTCGATGGAAATAAGGGATTCGAAATATTGATTTCTGCGACTTATGTATATTCTGATAAGTTAAAATGGTTCACCGAGTTTTTAGATGATTTAAATAAATGCATTTTTAATATTTATCAAGCTACATTTATCAATGTTATAATATAATAATATATTATAATAAATACTATATTTATATCTAGAAAATATAGAAAAGTAGATAGAGTTTGTAACTGATTAAAGCGTAAGAGAGAAGCATTTTTTTAAGATTATTATTATTCTAATAAATTTATGATAAACATATCATTGTATTTTTAAAATTATAATTAGCTGAAGAAAATCATTAATAATACTAAAGCTACAAAATTACGTTTATAATAAAAATATTACTTTACTCTATGTATTAATATCAACAACTAACGAGTTTTTAATCCACTTATTCAATAACATTAGATTTTATATTTATAAGATTTTCATATTAATTAGGTATTAATATTCTTTCCATATAAAAGTACGTATCTATATTATATAATACCATTATCATAAAAATTTATGTATCATAATAAAATACTGTAAAATATAAGGAAACGTTATCAGTAGATAAACACATAGAAGTTGTTACGAAACTAAAATATTGCTTTATATATTGCAGTCGATGTTAATTATATTTTGAAATTCATAATTGTAGAAAATTTTCAATTTGCGTTTTCTCGTCTTGAAAATTAGCTTATGAATTTGAAATATTAATGCTGTTTTTTCATACACAATTACATAGCTTCGGAATTTATTAATTTTTAACAATTTCTTTTATTTTCCAATAATTACTTTTTTATATTAAATTTATGTTTTAATTGCAAAACTTTCGTGGGAGAAATTTTCTGGAATCATCGATTATTAGGAAGCAGTTAAAGGCTTTTTAGTTTCGAATTTGATTTGTATTTAAAAAGATGTTTTTTCTTTCAATTTTTATATATAAATAATTTTCTTGTTCTATTTGTATAAGTATTATTATAAAAATATTAATTTCAAACAAATTTTTTTTCTGTTTCGATTTTCTTTGCGTTGTAAAATAAATACAAATTTATATTACTTAGTTAAAAAGGATAAATAAATAAATTTTCAAATTCAACATCAATAAAAAATATATTCGAAATATACATTGATTAAAGATTTTAAATTTATTATAAGTCTATATGAGATTGAAAAAAAAATTTGCACATTTCTGTACATTAAAAGTTTAAAGTGTATTATCTGCAAGTATGTCGTGTGCTTTCAAGCACATCTAAATACAATATATCATTGCAAATATTTATAAAAAATAATACTAACTGTCCAGAGGCTGTTTTTTTTTTTGTTTTTATTTTTGTTTTTGTATTATTTTTGTTATTATTTTTGTAATATACGCAACTAAATCTTAATTAAAAATCATATGTCTATCATTATCATAATTACCAACATATCAAGCATTAATATTAAAAATTCAAATGATAGATTATAAATAAAAATTAAATTTTTTTATAAAATTAAATTTTTACGAGATTTTACGAGAGTAAAATATAGATCTTAACAATTGTAGAATAAGAGGAACTTCAATTGTTAGAATAAGGGGTTATTAAAATTCTGCAATTTTTAAAAATAAAGAAGGTAAGTCAAATTCAGTATGGAAAGAGTTTAATTTTTTATTAATAAATTTCAACAAGTTATTTAATTATCACGAGAAATTATCAATTAATATTTAGTACATTCTGCTCTTCACTACCGTAGATTGAAATGATTGTAATGATATGAATAAAAATATTTTAATTAAATATTCATTAGATAGTTATTTTAAGTCAATATTAGATCGCAAAAAATTTATTTGAAGTAGATTATAAAGATTTTTCAAATAAATTAAAAATTTTTGCATAAAGTAAAGTAAAATATAAATGTATTTAAAGCATAATTTTCAGTAATTATTCCGTTGTTATTCTGAATTCAATACAATTTTTTATATTTCTAAATGATAAGGGATAAATTTTTATCGTAGAATCCAACCATTAAACCATTAAAATCATTAGACTTATCTTTTGTAATATAATACCAAAGAGACTGAATCATCCTATAGTTATGCACTTAGTTAAACGATTTGAATATTCATTTGCAGTATCTGTAATTGCTTAATATAATATACAATTATTCAAGCTAAATAGCATTTAAAACTACATGAATACATGTGTGCATGTATATTAAAACTATCGTATCATAATAATAAGAATTTATAAATAGTATTAGATATTGAAGGATTTGCACTTGGACAAAGCACACCAAACGAACAATACTCCTTGCTCCTATTCCAAGCCAAAATCAATGCCAATTACAAAATAAACTTAATCTATCTCACCTCGATATTGACTCTCTTGAGCACCTTCTTAGTGATCTCGACCTCGCGTTTGAAGATCTCTTTGCGCTCCTCACGGCCCCGGCGCCTCGGCATATCCAAAGGATCTGGTTTCAAATTACCTCCAACCATAGGCACACGAACATTGTCCGGTATCATTGCCTTCGTCGAGTCCTCCTCTCGCTGCAACAATATTTTGGCGAGATCATCCGTTTCGGGCTTGGATGGCTCGATCAAAGTGTTCGCTAAAGTGGAAACACTTCCGCAAAACGAAGTCTCTAGCAAACATTTATGTGGACTTGGTGACCTGTTGACACGTGATTTACAATGATGAGATTTTGCGATTACTTCAGCTAAGGGAATTCGTTCACATTTTATACTTTTTTTCGCTTAGCTAAATACATTTAATAAAACTTACAATTTTTACTTTTACTCTTACTTTCTTATTTTATCAATTATATGTTTACTTCGAACGTCCATAGAAATTAGATTGCTTGTAAAAGAAATATGCATTACAATGTGCATTCAGAAAGGGCTTTTATAAAAGAAAGATATGTAACCGTCGACACTCGAGTCAAGTTATGCATATTTTGTTAAAATTGAAATACACATCAATGCGATAAATAAGCGCTTCCAACATTTCGAGGCTTAATGCTTTTGTAATGAAAATTTAATACCTGCGTACACTCAAATATTATTGCAAAATTAACTTCATCTTTTGATATTTGTTAACCAACTTCGTCAAAATACATTGAAATAGGTAAAGGTTTTTAATAATTTGGAAGTAAAGCGAACCTAGAGGAGTTCGCGGATACGACGGACAAGGCACCACCCGAGACGCCAGAGCCCTGACTGCCGACAGACGACAGCCTAGAGGTTCTGCCGCTGATATTCAGTAGAATTATTTCGCTGCAATTACTGTCCTTCCTCTCGCGGTCTGTTTGCACCTTGATGGTCGAGCCGTGCTCCGACTGCGTTCCGTCGTGTACTTCCTTGGCGCGCTTCCGGAGTCGTTTCGAGTCACGTCTCTGATCCTGCTCGTGTACTGGATCCTGTAGGTCGAGCTCCTCCGTCGACGAACGCAACTCTTGGGCGTTTTCCTTGTAGCCGAGCTGTAGCGTACAACCTTCTGGAGGCTCCGTACCTATGCATTCCAAGCATTATTCCAACACCAGTTGCTGGATGGTTTTCCGTAATGCTTTTTCATATCCATTGCAACGTTGATAAAAGTTATGTACATACTAATTGAGTTTTATTTTATAGATATACTTAACAATTTTACATTAATAAATATTTGAAGTATTCAATGTGCTATGTGTTTAGAAATGAAACTTTAATGCTTTATATAAGTTAAAAATATGTATATATTTCATAAACTGTATTATGCGTTAAAAGGGGGAAATATTTTCACACTAACCAGCATCGTACAATTAATTCCAATATAATTATATTAAATAATAATTCATAATTAACAAAGAACATTCATTTTCCATTACCAAAGGATATGGTACAGAAAATGCACTCTTTATTAAAAATTAATGACGTCATAATACGATTATAGAAAACGAGACTGTAAAATTACTATTTCATATTTTCAGGAAGATGTAATTATTATAAATTATATACATTTTATGTACATCACTTGATGTACACACATGCATTTGAATTTAGTTCATTTGACAATAATGAATATTTTATATAAAAATAAAATAATACATGAATAAAGTTTTTAAATTTTATAGTTATTTATATTCTTTTTAAAGGAAATATATATTGTAAAATAATGTTCTCAAATGTTTATGAAATAGATAAATTTCACTAGGTAATACAATAGGATAATACTGTATATTTTAAAGATAAATGTCATTTCAATATAGCATTAAAGTAAATAGGTTAATAATAAAGATAAATTATTCTAAAAATATACATTATCTGTACTACAACATCAAATGTGAAAATTCAGAAAAACAAATATTTAAATATGAATAATGTGCTCTAACCAATTTTCTTTATTTTGCTTTATTATAAAACTTTACTTTTGAATGTAAAATTCAAATATGCATTTCATGATTAAAATGATCAAATACACAGACATAACAAGTGGAGGTGAACATTTCAAATATTTGAGATTTAAATTTAATGTAAATACTAATATGTATTTTTATAATTAAGTATTTTGATCTGCAGTAAAAACAATTTTTTTTTAATCTTCTTTATCAAAAAATCTTACATAATTAATTAAAAAATCTTATCCAATACGTATCGATATTATATATATCAATAAAACGAGAGATTAGAGGATCGATTTTACCAATCATAAATTATCAAACTTATTAATGTTATTAATGTTCAGGAAATTAAGATAAACTAAACTATTGAGGGAATTGAATGCCTACTATAATTTGAGGCAATTTTGATCTCGTTGGAAACAAATCGTACGTTATAATATAATAAGCAACTACTAAGATTAACATCGAAATTTTATTATAAAAGGATATATATTTAATAGTTAATAAATTTCATTATTAATTAATATTCAATATTTATGAAAATGATAGGAAATTAATTTTATCGACTCTTGTGTCGATAAAAAATATATATACAAAAAATATATATTTTTTGTAGAATGAGAATAATAAAGCTATGTAGAGCAAACATATTTATACAAATAATTCATAACTATCGAAAATAGTTAACGAAATTCTTTTCCATTGGAACGTTGTTAAAAGCAGTATAATATTGGAAGTGCAAATTTTAAAAAGCCATTGCCTTCACCATCCAATGTCTTTCACTCAATGTTTTGAATTGCATTTTTTCACTGTAAACATTTCACTTTAAATTTTTCAAGCAACGTTTTTAATACAATGATTGTCAGAAACAACAACAACATCGAACCAATAAAAGCCAAGTAAAATTGGTACGCAGTAGCTTTTAACCAAGTGAATTTCCATTCCCGATCTGAAATGCGACTTAATTACATTCAGAACACGTAGGTGGCAACATACCTGCGAGAAGCTCCTTCTCCGGAGTGGACTCCCTGGAGTTGCTGTCGTCGTCATGATGTGATGAGCTACTCGCCCTACTGATGTCAATTCTCGGTGTGCTCGGGGTTTTCAAAGAGCCTGCCGTCACTGGCGTCGTCACCTCCACGATACCTGGCATCCGAGCCACTGCTTCGCCTCCCTATTCAATATTATCCATAATTTTATTTTTGCTGATAATTTCATTATGCTTAGCTTGTCCCTTCCCTTTCCATCATATTTTATCTATTGGCTTTGGCTTATTACTACGAGAGTCGAGTTTAATTATAGACATCGAGAGCGTGTGTCCTTTTGGAATTACAATTGAGCGAACAGACTTGTTGATTTTATGAATATTTAACTAATTATGGTAGCCAAGTTTTATATTTTCCATCATTTCGTTGTATCGCGTTAGAATAACTTTTCTGTCGGTTACAGCTTTTTGAACGATTACTTGTGATCGAATGTATGTAACAGGATTTGTCTTTGATTAGTATTAAATTTAATCTCATTACTCAAAATGTACATTTATAAATTTAACTTATTATTAGATCGATCATTTTAATTTTAAATTTATCACACAAATTTTCTATCGCTTTGAAGTTTCTTATGAACTAACTTTATATTCGCATTTTATTAATATTATAACTGCACTATTAGGGATTAATAAAATGATTTTACTATTTTTGCTGCTTTTGTATTGATTTTGATTTAATATAGCATTCAAAATATATTTTTTTAGAAAGATTTTTAATAACTACTCATGATATATTTATAATTACTTCTGGTAATTATGTGTCTTTAAAACCTTATTCACTTTATACACTTATAATTCGGTGTTAATCGAACATTTTAAGCATCAATTTAGATCCGGTAAAAGGCCGTGAATGTTTAGCGGCAGTCATTTTAAAATTAAAGTTAAAACTTTTGAGCATCAATAAATGTATTTCGATTTTAAAATTCTATTCAATAATTAATGTTCAAAAAACAAAAAGAAAATAAAAAAGAACGCAAGCCTTATATAAAAGTTTCATTCTAAGGGACACGTATAAATTGGTGAAAAAACCCGCTAATATATTATCTCCCCTCAAAAAGATATACAAAGTTTGCCAAGGATGTATTTGATGTTGTTTCCAAAATCGTTCCCCTTGTGCTTAAAGTGATAAATCGGCCGGCTTTAGAAAAATTTACGTTTTCGACTTCGTCCGAGAGATCCTCGAATGATGCGATCGGCGCCGGCCCAAATTTCCTTTGATGAACGCTCGGGACGCTCGAAGCCATTTTCTTTTCTAGTGCTTCTTACCGCTGTAACAGAGCAATGAAAAATTATCCTTCGATATATTTGAGTCGTATATCCCGTACACAGATGTTTGTGAAAGCTCATGTAACTAAAGAATAATAAAATGATTAGAAATAGAAGAAAACATGCATTATGCCAATTAACATTCAGTGCGATGTAACAATTTATTTCATTAATTGTATTCAAAATAGTACATTTAAATATTGAAGTAATAATATAAATATAGAAATATAAATTAAGATTTTTATTCTCCAAGAATAAAATAAAAAAATGCAAACGTGTTAATTGCAATTATAAATCTGTTTTTAATATCGAATCAATAAAAATAACGAGTTATATAATGTATAAAAAATTTCTTATATTATTTATATATAATTTATATTTACTTCTAAGCATTATAATTATAATATAATTTCAAATACAAGTTAATTTGAATTTAAATTATAAATAAAAATTGGCTATTCAGTGTAAATATAACAATTATTATTTAAAATTTTGTAGAATAATATTATTTAAATCATAAAATATAAACAAATATAATTAAATAAATTGAATGTGATATTTTTATAGAACGGTACCATAATTATATATAGACTTTAATTATTAATGGGTAAAAAATAATGCTTAAATATAGTATCCATTCTGCTATAAAACTAAAAATAGTATGACTATTTATTCTACAGTACTGTATACTCTAAGGTACTACAATATTTTAAATATATAATATAAAATATACGAAAGTTGATAAATATAAAAACTATTTCAAAGGTTATTTTAAAATTCAAATATTTTCAGATTTTGATTGTATATTACTATATAACTGAATATTTTCATTATTAAATAATACAAAATTATTTGACAATATAAATATTATTACAAATTTTTTAATTTAAGCTGCGAACGTTATTATTATTATTAATATTTTTATTTTTATTAAAAATTAAATAATTATGATACATAATATAATTCTTAGTTATTTTTATGATACTTGCAATCTAAAGCAGCTGAACACCTGTTCTATGCCGTATAATTCTTAAAGTAAATCCTATGTATAATTAAATTCTGTATACAGTAAAGAATAATTAATGAATTCAAATAATACATTTTTTTAATAATTGATAAATTAATTTACAGAATTTGTATATAACCATTTTATAATGAGTATCTATACATTTTTTTCTTATTTGAATATAAAATTATATATTTAGAATTGAAAATTAAAATTATGTAATACTAAATAATTTAATGTTTCTTACAGCATCGAAAAATAATAATTAAATTATTATCATAAGTAAATTTAATTCTATATAAATATTACACGTATTGACAAAATTCTCCAAATAATAAATATATAATATTCGATTATGTACAAATATATAATTTGACATCTTGAAATAATTTCAACATTCTATATATATCATGTAAATTTACAATAATTTAAATTTATGAACAATGTTTTATTATAAAATTACATTTTTTTTTTATAACTCTTAGAAATAATCAAATTTAAAGTAATTTCGTATTTTTATAATTTCATAAATGATTTTTCACTTTGTTAATGCAAATCATTTTCCAATGGAATTACAACAAAATGTAGTACATGGAGAGAGAGAGAGAGAGAGAGAGAGAGAGAGAGAGAGAAAGTAGGTTAGAACGTGGGTGAGTGGAAGGAGAAAGAGAGAAAGAGAGAAAGAGAGAAATAACGTAAAAAAAAAAAAACGAACAAGAGAAGGAATAAATAAAATCACCCCGAACGTATATATATTTATCTTTACGAACGTCTGTTCATCAGAATTGCTGCCATTCAGTTACAAACCACAATACCTTATTCAGCTAGTAAGACTTCTTTGTATTACACGTAAATATCAAGCTATAAAAGCTATTCTAATTTCCTTGATAAATATAGGGAGTGGTAATCATAGTCATTCGATCAAAGGAATTTTTCCCTCTGGAGTATAACGTCTTACATACACTAAATATAAAATAGAGGTTAAATATATATAGATTAATTATAATATTGTAAAGTAGGAAATTATATGCAATCCAAGCAATGGACATATAAATTTAATAATTTTATCCGAAACGTTTCAGAGTAGAATTCCAATGGTTTGAGGTTTTATAAGAAAAATGTTACTTCTTGGAAATACTAAAATGTAAGTTGAAATTAATAATGGAAATTATAAAACAAAGAATTTTAAAGCTATTTTAAAAATTTTTTTAATTTATCTTCAAGATATATAAAAATCACATGAATTATCAACAGTTTACTCAACTCTATTCCATATATTATTATTTCATTATAATTTGTATTATCTATATATTTGTTTTTTAATAAAGTTATTGAACACTTAAATTTAAATAGAATATTAAATAAATAACATTGTTATTTGAACTTTTTAAATTTAAATAAAATTCTTTAGCCTTTATATTCAATTTAAGTGATAAATTATAAAGACAAATATTAATTATTAAATATTGTAAATTATTATATATCTATATAATATAAATTTCCAAGATTATATTACGAATTCAAAGAATTTAAAGTGGCACAGACTAGTATTTATGAACATATATTTATTACTTTATTATTGCAACAAACTTTATTCTATTAATTCATTTAACCAAATTAATTAATTAACATGTAACATTTAAGAAAACTTTTATCAGAAAATTTATAATACATCAGATACATAACTAATATAGCACTAAAATATAATTGCTTCTCACTGAAAGAGAATAAGATTTATTGTTAATAAATGTTTGCTAAAATTTTAGCAAAATGTTGAGACTCTAAAATATATGATTTCTTCAGGTTAATACTAAGTTTAGTTTAGATTAATTGTACATTTAAGCAAATAAATATTTGAATTTTCTTATTCAGAAGATAATTTTCAAATAATTCTGTGGATATCTCTGTCATGACAAATAAAACTAATTTCATGAACATTTTATAATTAACTTTTACAAATTAATTAGTATAATGTGAAATGTATTACATTTCGTAGTAAATTAATTTCTAATTGTATGTTAAATACAATTATATTATATTATTTTATAAAATTAATTATTTAAGACAGAAATAAGAAATAATTTAAAATATAAATTTGATTTTATAACTTTGTCTTAATTTCTTATAAGAATGAAAATGTATTCACCTAAAACGTAAAAATCGTTTCTATAAAATATCGTCTATTCGCGTTTCAAGATAAATAATCAAATGAATTTAATAGTTATTACATTATACATTATACATTATATATTATTATATAATTTGAAATAATTATTATTCACAGTATATATATCTGAACTATAGATAATTTATAATTTCTCAGCTCTTAAACTCTGAAAATAATTGCTTTTATAGTATTTTACAGCTTCATCTAAGGGATCTAATTAATGTTTAAGTTACTTTTTCACGTTAATTATATCTTGCATTAATCTTACATTACACCGCATCGTATGATATAAATAGAGATCTTTCGGGAACAATAACTGTTTCTACTTTCGTTAAGAAAGCGTCGACTTTTGGCACAAGAGTTACTCTTCAGCATCAGGCTAATTAATGTCCAAAACTCATGACCGTAGCCATTTATATGCAAGTATTAAGATATAAAAGATTAGTTGAACAGTAATCAAGTATTGAAATATTTGAGTCTAATGAATTTCTGAAACTTAGTAACACGTGGATGTACTAATCTAAATTATATGTTTTGAAAATTTTATTTTTTGAGTAATTTACGTGTTATGAAAGGGCTTAGATGCCTTTGCTTGATTTACCAATGTAGTATAGAATAATTTTTATTTATACTCTTTCTATTATATATAATATAATATAATAATTGTATATGTGAAAGCATTTAATATTTTTAAAAGGTTTAAATATTAATTTATAACAACTCTACATAATTTATTATTGCAATTATTTATTAAACACAAATAACACACGATATATGTAAAATATTGATAATATAGTTAGATAAAATACATTTTCTATGTAATATAGATATTCATACTTAAATTATCAATTTCATCAATAATACAGTTTTATATTTATTTTACATTTCAAAATATCTTATGTAATTCTTTATTTACACATAACTTTATTTATATAATAAATAATCTCCTTAAATATAAAACGAATTAAAATTAAGTTGCATTCATCACGTTCTGATGATTATTTGACAAAATTAAAAATCGAACAAATATAATGTTTTTATTTTTAATTACTTTAATTTATTTTTCCTATAATAATTTTCAATATACTTAAAGTTTCTTTTTCAAATTTAAAACTGAATGCAATAATTCCGGTTTCGTAAAAAATCTAAAGTACAGAAATTTAATCAACATTTGCATTACACTTAAGAAAATGTTATAAAAATATATATAAATAGTCTCAAATGAATATTATACGATTTTATTTTTTTAATTCTTGGATTTCAATTTTTAATTCTTTTATTTTATTTATATGTATAATATTAAAATTAAATTTTAAAATATTTAAAGTATAATGTATCATGTTAAATTAAAAATTTCTGAAATAAAACGATCGGCCATCAAATTTAACATATATATATATATATATATATATAACAGTCGGATTTAGCAACACAAATTTTGATTTTTAAGTAATATTAATTTTACACATTTTCAACGCTACCTTCATCGAGAATATTATGTAAATTAGTGCAAAAACAAATACTTGAAAGCACATATGGACTACTTAAAGTAGTACGATATTTAAGTGTCAACGGCATCGTGTTACAATGTACATGCGAGTAGAAGTTTGTAAAAAGTTTTTCAACGACTCTCGAGAAAAAGGCTGACCGAAAGAAAGTTTCAAGAACAATTACTACGTAAATAATACACGCCATTAAAGGATTTTACTCTAGGCAGTATGGAAACGTGCCAATGGTATCAATGAAATAAAAGTTCAGACGGCTTATGCTTTATTTGTTAGATTTCTAGTAGACAAAAAACTATATATAGTGTCTGGGAACTAAAGTTG